GCTATTCAATAAGAACAACGATTTCGTTCATTGGGGGAGAATCGTGCAAGAATGGTTCTTATATATCGTGCAAGAATCGTGGAAGAATGGTTCTTATATACAGATCTTTTAAAAATATATCCGTTGGGGTGGGCCCCACTAACAGTTCTGTTAACGGAAGATGGATTTTGGTGTTAACTTCCAACTTTTATATTTTTGGGAGGTGTTAAAATAAAAGTTTTTTTTTTGGGGGGTGTTAAAAAACATTTTCAGCCTTTTGTAAGGTGTTAAAATCCAAAATATCCTTTTCGTTTTGATTTTTTTCGTTTTCGTTTCGGTTTTTTACTTTTTTTATTTAGGGTTTTTGTTTTCGTTTCATTTTTGTTTTGGATCCAAAGTTCTGATTTCTAACTTTTCCATTCTCGTTTTTTTTTTTCAAATCTTCCTCTCCTTCAAGCCGTCAAACCTCAAGGTAATTTTTTTGTTAATTTTTTCGATTTTTTTCGTTTTCGTTTCGGTTTTTTTTTTATTTCAAGTTCTGATAATCTACATTCTTGATTTTTTCTTTTGATCTCCAGTTCAGGCAGTTCTCCATCTTCAAATCTCCTTCAAGCCGTCAAAGGTAATTACTTTTTCGTTTTCGTTTTTTTTTAATACAGTTTTTTCTGTTTTTGTATTTGATTATTGTTGTTGTTCTTGCTTGAATATAGTCGAAATATGCCTAAAATTTGTTGTTGATTGTATTTTTGTTTTTTACGGGAAAATGGTAGATTTGTGCTGTTTTGTTGTTTATTATGCTCGATTTAAAAGTAATGATGATGGGTTGTTCAGATTATGTGGTTATTGGCTTTTTTACCTAACAAAAGACCAAATTGTGTCACTTTCTGCAGTTATGTGCATAAAATAAATGCTAGTTTAGGGCTAGTAAAATAAACATCTCATGTTTATTTATAGGTTCATAATTTCATTGGAAACTTTTGAAAAAGTTTAAGCTTTTCTTATGTATGCTTTTTTCTTTTTGAGGATATAGGGGTAAACTTTTGCCAAAGAATGTTGAGGCATTGGTTACCACCCAAAATTGGTGTCGTGGTTATCAAGTGGATGTTGAGGAAGACGTCCTCCTTATTGGTAAAGAGATTGAAGTCGAAAGTGCTTCATCTGCATAACTGGTATTTGTGTCTCATTGTGGTTTATTTTATCTTGAAAAATCGTTGCCCTTGTCATTTATTTTCAGACTTGCTGGCAGCATTTTTCAAGACTTTTAAAATCGTTGCCCTTGTCATTTATTTTCAGACTTGCTGGCAGCATTTTTCAAGACTTTTAAAATCGTTGCCCTTGTCATTTATGTTGAGACTTAAATAGTTAAATGTATTTTGGTACTTGCTGGCAGCATTTCTTAAGTTTTTATTAAAACAACCATTGCTCAGTGATGTAAATCTGAGAGCAATTTTAAAAAAACAAAAGCTATAATTTTGAAGTTGCTTGGACTTGTTATGAGCTGCTGCCTGCTGGTAGTGCTTTTGCCTTTTGGTTGTTGTCTCTGCTGAGTTGTTATTGCCTATATTGTTGCCTGCATGAGCTGGTTCTTGCCTCCTGCCAGCTTGAGGTGTTGTGTTGCTGCCTTTTGTGTTATGAATTTATGATAAGTTTTGTTGTTGCTGTTTCTTATGCTTGCTGTTTTAATTTTTCTTGAATCATCGTTGCCCTTGTCATTTATGTTGAGACTTCAATGTATATGTACTTGCTGGCAACATTTTTCAAGTTTTAAGTTAAAACAGCCATTGCTCAGTGATGATACGATAAACGTAAATCTGAGAGCAATTTTGAAAAACAAAAATAAGTTCCTGCTGAGTCCCTTCTGCTTATATTATTCCTTGCTTCTGATAAGTTGCTGATCTGTTATTCCGTGTGCTGGTTCCTGCTTGTTGCTGCTATTTCCTCTGCTCTTGGGTGCTGTGTTGCTGCTTCAAGATTCCGCTTCAAGATTCTGCTCCCAAATCACTCACATTCTCACTCCTCCCTTCATCTTATGATGTATCATTTTTAGCAACCCTAAACTTGATCATGTTTCAGTTGATAAATCTGAAATCTAATCTGGGTAGTAGTGATAGTAGTTTCATTATGTATTGGTATATGTATTGTGAATTTTAATCAATGAAAATGGTGACTTTTTTTAATTGCTTGTTGATATTACTCTAATTTCAATGCTATTTATCTGCTGGATTTGTGGTAATGTTATGAAATAATTGTGGCTACAGATTTGGGATGCCTCCGTATTTATTAAAATTCTTTTACTTAATATCTGGTTTAATATAAGAAAAGCTAAAAAAATGTGTTTTATAAACATTTTAGTCCCCCCCTTTACAAAATACTTGTATAAGAAAGTTTTATAAAGTGATAATGTGAATGATTGTACGCCTTATTGACAAGTACAGTAATATTCTAATGCTTATGCCACTTGTGTAACGCAATCTCATACATCTCCAATCTTATGTTACCTTTGAGGCTTTGAGTGTTATTGGATGATCATGAATATCAAGGAACAATGAAGATAATTTGGGTGGACTAGCATTATTACTGGAATGAAAATGATTGTAATTAAAATAAATAAGTAATCTAAAACGATATTAATAATGCCGTTGGCCTAGATCTAGGTGATATAAACCTTTGTATAAACCTAAGCCGTTTGATTAGATCTACATTTATTAACATTAATTGTATTTACTATTTAGCCATTTAGGTTGTAAATAATTCAATTTGAGTTAAGCAGTTTGTAATCGGATCAGTTTAAACAGGTTGCGATTCGAAAACAGTTCGATTTTAACGGTTTAACGGGTTATGGCAGTTCAGTTTAGACGGTTAGCGGATTATAACGGTTTGGTTTATACGTGCGGTTTAAACGGTTTCGGTTCATAAACGGGTCGGTTTAAACGGTTAGCGGGTTACAAATGGTTCGGTTTAAACGGTTTTTTTTTCGGTTTAAACGGTTTCGGTTTATAAACGGTTCGGGTCATTAACGGGTTTATAAACCATTCGGTTCGGTTTCGTTTCGGTTCGGATTTGCGCAGTTTGGTTTGTTATCGGTTTACGGTCCGTAACGGGTTGACATTGAGCGGTTTAATTCGGTTTCGGTTTGATATTGAACGGTTCAATTCGGTTTTCAGTTTATATTTATCGGTTTATAAACGGATCGGTCCGTGATGGTTCGGTTCGGTAACGGGCGGTTTCACGGTTCGGTTTGAAAAGTCCCACCCCTAAGTAAAACCAAATGTACACGATTGTATAACACATACAAAATTTAAATACCTTGCTTAAACAATTCATTCAAAAATAAACAACACAAAAAGAATTAAATACAATGCACATAGAAAGAAATCATCTATCTTATATGCCTATCCTAAACTACTACCCAAAACTCACTGATAAAATAAAATAAATACTCAAGTTTAAAGAATAAAATAAATACCCAAATTCATTTATTTCAATAAAAAAAATAATAACACAATTGTTTATAAAAAAAAATTATTTTAAAATGCTGAAATAATTTATTTAAAATAAAATAATTTTTTTAAAAAAAGTATAACTTTGAATCAAGTAATTAAATCCATAATCACAAGACTTAAAGCGTTAGACACCTAAAAACTTTAAATTATATTTAGTGTTAAGGCTTACAAAATCCCAATAATTATTAGGATATTTTGGATTTTAACACCTTACAAAAGGCTGAAAATGTTTTTTAACACCCCCCAAAAAAAAAACTTTTATTTTAACACCTCCCAAAAATATAAAAGTTGGAAGTTAACACCAAAATCCATCTTCCGTTAACAGAACTGTTAGTGGGGCCCACCCCAACGGATATATTTTTAAAAGATCTGTATATAAGAACCATTCTTCCACGATTCTTGCACGATATATAAGAACCATTCTTGCACGATTCTCCCCCAATGAACGAAATCGTTGTTCTTATTGAATAGCAGCAGCGCATTGCATTGTTGCACGATACTTGAAACAATTCTTTCACGATTCTTCCACGATTTTTGAGAAGAGGAACAGATTGAAGCTGCTGAAACAGGTGAGTGCGGTCAATTGTTCGGTTGTTTGGTAATTATGGTTTAAATTCTCTTCAATTATTATTTGCAATTGTTTCGTACTCAGATTAATGGTTGGATTATGTTATGTACGCATCTAAATGCCCAATTGCGAAATTAGGGTTCGTCAGAAATTGAATTTGGGGCTTTTCGTATTATGAAATTAAAAATGAATTTTGTTGCTGTCAATGTTAATTCGTCAGTGTACAAATCTGTAAATGTGACTGTCGATCTAAAATTGATGCAGATTATGTCGTTTGTTAGCTCTTCCCCTCCTGAGGCCAGAAAATGTAAGTGTGGTGTGCCAATGGCCAAGCTCACTAGCTGGACAAGGGAGAATCCAGGCAGGAAGTTCATATCATGTAAGTTTTATGACCCAATAACAGAAACAAGGGGTTGCAAAGCTTTCGAATGGGTTGATCAACCTGATGGAACAGATTGGCAAACAGGGGTTATCAACAACCTGTTGTTGGATAAGAAGCTGCTAAAGGGTGAAGTTAATGAATTGAAAAGGGAAGTTGATGAAATCAGTGGCCAAAGGAGGTGCCTACTTAATGAAGTTGATAATTTGAAGATGAGATGCAAGGCCTTGAACGCTGACAGGAAGAGAATGAACAGGGAGTGCAATGAAGGGAAGGTGTCTTCAATCAGCTGTTTTGGTTGGGTGGGCATGGCCATTTGTATAGGTTTGTCAATGGGTGTAATTTTCCTAATGGCTAGGGGTGTGTAATAGTAAGCTGTATTAAGTAGTTATAATTTCTTGTAATGACTTGAAGTGTTATAAATATGTCTTTTAATCAACCTATTTATGCCTTGTCTAAGTTCCTATTTATGCCTTGTCTTTTAATCAACCTATTTAAACATGTGAAACATTAAAACATGGGAAATATGTGAAACACTAAGATAGTTCAAGTACAGGTTGACAAAAGAACCTTACTTCAACATGTTTCAATGGCAATCAAAGCCATGCAACCATTACAATTCAATATCTAATTGTTCAAATTTGTTAAGGGAAGCCACTAAAAAACTAGCAAGTTACATAACCAGTCATGAGTACATAATAAAAGTTTGAAATTGTTCAACAGACATAATGTTTGATATCCAGCATGAGTACATCACTGAGTAAGGTTGTTGAGGGATTGCAGCCTGGCCCTTGTTACAACACCTGTGGCTGTTGTAGGCTGACTTGAGGAAGACCTTGTCTTTCTTTTTGGTTGGCTTGAGGCAGGCTGACTTGAGGAAGGCTGAGCTGAGGATGGCTGACTAGAGGATGGCTGAGCTGAGGAATGCTTAGCTGAGGAAGACTGTGGCTGTGGGCGCTTGCTGAATGGCAGACAACCTTCTTGCTCTTGAGGAAACTTTTTGTTTCCTATGCTGTTTGGTCCAGCCCCAATTGCACTCTATGACATGCATATAAAAATAAAAAGTCAATGGAAAAGACACATACATATATAAAACAAAGGGGGAGTTGGTGTAATGCTTGTGTTACCTTTTTAGCAGCCCTAATCTCTTTCTTCTTCCTCTCCTCCACCATCCAAGGAGTGTTCAGTGGGGGTCTGCCTGCTGACTTTATCAGCTCTGTAGCTGGTGCAGCAGGTACTTTGCAAGTCTTGGCATAATGCCTATATCCCCCACAGTTGCTGCATTGCTTCTTCCTCTTGGTACTTGCCTGACCACCTGAAGAAGAACATTCTCCTGGCTCAAGCTTCCTTTTTTTGCTCTTTGGTCTCCCAGGTTGCACCTTAACAGAAGGGGGTAGTGGTTCCCTCATTCTGACTCTCTCCCAGTGCTTTGGGCCAGGCATTGGTTGGACAGCTGGTTCATAAGCAGACCTGTATGTGTCCATGGTATAGTATGGGTCAACAACAGCCTCTATGTCACCCCTCATATCCAATATGCAGGCATAAGCATGAACACATGGAATGCCAGTGAGTTCCCAATGGTAACATGTGCAGGTCTCCTTGTCCAAATCAACCAACACCTGGTCATCCTTCAGCTGCACCTCAAATGTATTCCCTCTGGATGGCTGCACCACACAGGACCTAGCCACAAAGTCTATCCTCCCCAGAACATGCCTCACATATGGCACTAAGTTGTGTGTAATTGTTTTTGAATCCTCCCACTTTTCATTATTCCTGTTCATAATATACCTCCTCATCCATTCCATTTGGGTGAGGATAGGTTTATCTCTGGCAGGCCTAATGACTGCATTGAAAGTCTCACACATGTTGTTCAACAACATGTTGGACTTGCAGTTTGGTGTGAATGCATGTCTAGACCAATGGTGGGGAGGAATGTTGATTAAATACTCATATGCCTCTTCATCGAGGAATTTGATAGACTCCATGGCAATTTCATGCTCAAACTGACATATAAAAGCATACCAGAAATCACACCAAGCATATACAAGCTAACCAATATAAAAACACACCAACAGTCATATAAAAGCATAGGCTAGCTTCAACAATCAATAAACTTACAATGGTGGTGGCCCTAGCTGCTCTCCAAAACAGCTCCTTAAAGGTTGATCCAGTGAAGTTGAGCTTGAAGTTAGCCCAAATATGCCTCACACAAAACCTTTGCTCAGCTTTGGGAATAACATCAGCCATTGCTTTAATCAAACCCTACCAAATGCAGACAAAAGTATAATCATCAGTCAATCACATACATACACATGAAAACTTAGAAATTGAACCTAAATAGTTAAGAGGGAAACAGAAGCATTACCTTTTGCCTGTCAGACATGATGGTCAGCCCAGCTCCTTGATCATGTGTGAACATTGACATAATCCCACACCCTAGCATACTGCTCCCTAGCTGAACCAAATATCAGTAGTTTTGCCCTACACCTAGCTAGCCATGCCTTATAGTAACTCACATCAACTCCTAAATCATTCAAAATCCTAGCCCTAATCTCCTTAATTCTCCAACCAGGGTTACTCCTAAACTCTTCTAAATACCTCTCTGCTATGTATTCAGCAGTAAGCATCTTGTTCTTCTTTACTCTGAAGCAGGAATGGTCTAAATTCAAGGTTTTGATTTGCCAAGTTTGCTGCTTAACAAGTTTTGATGCAAACACCTTGAACTGACACTTTACCCCCCCCCCACACATGTACAAGCAGGCATTCTACAAGTGTAGCTATTGAACTCACAGCCACATCTATATCTACACTGAACTGTAATCCTTTTACTGTCATTATGCAAGTAGTAGAACTCATACCTGTTTTGAATGGCATGAAGTCTTAAGGCCCTCCTCAAGACTGAAGCATTACTGAATTTCTGATTTAACTTCAACTTGATTGGGTTGTCAAAGTCCACATCAGCATTAAACCAAGGAGCATAGTCCTGTTCCTCATCAGATCCACACAAACTCCTTGAATCATCTGAATCAACATCACTTTCTGGATTCACCTTCGGTTTTCCAACATCCAAATCATTTCTCAACTCTACTCTCTTATCTTTGCCAACCCTGTCATCTACTGCACTCTCCAAACCTTTCCTAAGGCTCTTGTTCACTTTGGCCAAGATCTCCTTTGACCCTTCAATATACCATTCCTCATCCCCTTCATCAAATTCTTCTTCACCAGGTTCCCAATCTTGTCCCTCATCACTCAAATCTGAACTTGAATAACCAGATCCTTCACATCCATCATCCTTTTCTTCATCAAACCTCAACACTTTAGCATTAGCTGAGGCTTTCCTAGGTGGACTCTCCTCCCTTTGTTCAGTTTCTGTCTTCTTAAACCTAGGGCTCCTCCTAATAGTCGATGTATTTGAACTTTCTACCTTCTTATCCTTTTTTTTTGTCTTTGCAGGATTGGGTTGGGCCTCTTGTATGGGCTGACTAGGAGCTTCTGTTGTTACAAAAACCTCAACATACCCCTCTTCATTTACTGTCTCCAAAAGGCCCTTAACCTCTTCACTGTTAACTAGTTCCCTTTTCCCAGTGTTAAAGGTTTTCCCCTTCTGCCTATACCAACAGCTGTAATGCATAGGCACATCCATATCACCATTAACAAAACCATGAATTGCAGCTGTTCTAATCAAATGCACATCCAACTTAGATACTTGAACCTTCCTCTTCCAGTAACACCAACCACCACACCAACACAGCAGCTGCCTGTTTTTGGTTACTCTTTTAGGGACAAAAGCACCTCCCACTCTAAGGCAGATGTCAACCAAACTATCCTTGTCACCCATTATCTACCCACCAGTGAAAAACATATAAAACATATTAAAAGCCATGTAACTATACATGCACAATACGAATAAACAAATCCATCACAGCCACACAAACAAACACATAAAAAAATTGAAAATAAACATATACAAGCCAATGTAGGTGCTCAGTAACATAAATTAATCAACAAACCACACTTGCTAGTTTAATTAACAATAAACCACCTTAATTAATCTCTACTTTCAATTACGAAATCCAATTAACCTAAGTCGCATAGTCAGTTACAGAAATTGATTTATCAAGGCTTTCCTACTGTGGTCCCAAAATTTACCCTAATTACCCAATTATTGCAAGGTTTACAGCAATGAAGCACCAGTAATTGACGAAATTGCTATCAAAGGAGAGCAATTTTACCTTATTTTCTGTGAATTTCAAGCGGCTTTCGCACTTTTGTAGTTGAAGAAGATGATGAAGAAACCCTCCTGAGCTTATCTTCTCCAACGTTGACACCACCCTACACTCCACTTCTCAGCCAAGATCTCCTTTGGTTCAAAAGCGAAATCAATGAAGGTTCAGAAAGAATTCAATGCAGAAGGTTGCTGCGAATTCAATGAAGAAAGAAGTTTCGTGTTTTGCTGGGTGAAAATTGAAGTTCAAGCCAATTTGTGGGACCCACGTTAAATTTCCGTGACGGAAATCGTTAACTGGTGTTAACTTCCAACTTTTATATTTTTGGGAGGTGTTAAAATAAAAGTTTTTTTTTGGGGGGTGTTAAAAAACATTTTCAGCCTTTTGTAAGGTGTTAAAATCCAAAATATCCTAATTATTACAACCCAATAAACTAGGTGAGTTATTTATACAACTTTATAAACTCATGACATCATACTAATCGAAACACTTGAGCTCCTTTAGCTACGACCACTTGATCAACCTGCTTAGAAAATTTTGACTGTTCATCATTAATGACAAATTCCAAAATAGATCGTCGCAGGGTCACCATAAGAAAAAGACATAGCCGCAAACACAAGTAGCACAACAAAACAATACACACGTCAGCAAAAAGCTGAGTAGTCACCACATATCAGAATACAAAGAATAATATAATAATTAATATTATTAGCTCACTTAAACAATAATGTAGTTTAGAACTACATTACACATATACACCTCAAGGGTTAAAAACTTTATACTATGTCCAACCTCGAATAAAATACAATCCTTCACTCAATTAACTTATACCCAATAAGTGTGTCATGCTCTTTGTTCTATACCTAGCCTTGGACAGGGGTAATTCGAATAACAAACCAACAAGTATAAAAACTTGAATACTTTCAATAACCAGAAAACACCTTGAACCAGACCACGTACGGGTCAATTCCCACTGTAGGGGACTATAGAAAAATAAATAATAAAGATTGTACCTCATTCTTAACTCATGATTATCATCTCCTTACCAACATGCCAAGGACTAAGGTTTATAACGTCGAGCCTCAAACCAAGAACAAATTAATAATTCTCAACCTTTTGATCTCATACATCGATCAAATAATTATTCATAAACAATCTCAACAATGGCACATGTTCCCAAATAATATAACAATTCGATTCATAAATATCTCAACTCTTAGGTCAATAATACTAGCACCCAAAAGTAATTAATTCTCAACCCAAAATAATACTCTGCATTAACAATCCTAAAACCTCGATAAAATAATACTCCCTATAGAAACAACATTAAGAACCCTTGAAAAATAACACAATTAATCAATACCACAAAAATAATACGGCAATTAGAATCATATTATACCACACTAATCATGTATATATATAAATCATGATCATATATAATTCACAAATTATAAATTAAAATTTACACATAACAATACGGAGTACAATTAATATATACTAACGATTTATTATCAAACAAATCCAAAAATTAATTAAGGTCGTGTGATTACATAAAATAAATAATACAATCAAAATATAAACAAACTATCTAAGGGTTGATAGTGTGATTACCTTTCGAATTGAATAACTCAAGTTGGTGAATTGCCGAATAGAACAACCGTACCATTTATTGATTATAAGAAGTTGATCATCATAGATTCACAATGATAATCTGTGTATTTAGGGAACAAGGATAAATCATCAAAAATGGGTTGGCACTCAACTGACAAAGTAGATTTGCGTACAAATATAAGACTAAATTTGCTAATGCACTTCATATAAAAAGAAATCAAGAAGGCAAAAGTCATCAAAAGAACTTTAAGTGCGTGAAACAAAGAGGTCTATGAAAGCAATTGCAAAGATAAAAGTTTTAATAAGAGTCATCGCTGCACAAATATTAATAGGGTTAAAATAGTTTAAATACGCTTAAAAATAAAGAGTCATATTTAAATTCAACTAGGGTTTAAACCTTTCCGAACTTTAAATTAAAATTATGAGATTAGGAAAGTTATTTAATAAATAAAAATAAACTATTTTTATAATAAAAAAATATTATATAAAATCATAAAATATTCGGGTATTACAAAGTTGGTATTTAAACTTAGCAACTCCATAAAAAAGTTGCTAAGGGCAATAGCAATAAGAGGTTTGTGGAGAGGTTTGTGGGAACAATTTCACAAACCTCTTGTTGTAGGTTGAAGTTTGTTTTGTAGAGGTTTGTCACACAAACCAGTTGCACTTGATGAGTTGGCAAAAATTGATTCCTTTTCTCTCCTTTTTTTTTTATTTACAGAAAAAATGTTTTGGGACCACTTTATTGTATTAGCATTAAAGATAGTCTAAAAAAACAAAGCTTTTGCATGCATACAACGGTAATATTGTGCTGTCTACTTTATTTTGACAACTCCAATCATGCCTCAAGTTACTCCATGCATGCAAAGGATTTTCATTTACAGTAGTTCTATTCATTAGCAGAAGTATTATATGCAAAGTATTTTCGTAACATTTATAATTCAAGTGTTGTTAATTTTTTTGTACAGAAATATGAATAATCATAATTTATATATATAAAAAATTTGAATTCATAATTTGTACACTATATAGAAGTTGTTGTTCCAAAATATTCATAATACACTAGCATTTCTCCACTGTCTTTACAAAGTTACATTATTGTCAAATGCTAGTGTTAAAATAATTTGTTAATTTTTTTCAGTAATATCTATTTACAATGGAGGATAATTATTGAGGTTTTATAAATTTATTAAACTCCTCGAATACTCCTAATAATCCCAAAATCCAAATAACCCACATAATTACCTCGAAATGACTCCCATATTACACAACCCACATCTCAAAACCCACAAAATTTCCCTCCTTATCCGTATCCAAATTTTCAACAATGTCCCGTGTATCCATAATCCGCCATATTATCACCTAGGTATGGATCCATACGGAATGCCTAGATTTGAAGGTACGTGTGGTAGTCCAGTGGGTAGTTAAAATGAGCAACAAAGAGAAACTACGGAAGGATCACAACCCACAACTCCAACGTATGAGATAGGGTCTTCAGAAGTGCCCGTATACTCTACTCAAACATTGTCCAAAGTGAAAAGAACAAAACCAACCCGAAGGAATAAATTCTACTTCTTCTAAGAGATCATCATCTGATGCAGATACAAACATTGACTTAGAAGCTGAAGTTAATCCTATGGGTAAAAAGAAAGCAAAGGCACTAAATAAAAGCAAAAGGAAAGAAAAAAGAGGTAGAAGCAGATCCCTTCGACAGTAAATGGAAATTCATGCAAGACAGTCAAGCCGAGAAAATTACAATTATGAAGGAATTAAGGGAAGGTTTAGGGGCTTGTGTGAAAACTAAACAAGAGGAGATTAAGGTCAAAGAGTTGGAATTACTATTCAGGGACACATCTGGCAGGACCCAACAACAATTACTCGTTCATGAGAAAGTGTGTAA